AACTCTTAAAGCTGTGCAGTTATAGTGCATGCAGCCGACGGGAATCGGAGAAAAATGCGAGCTTGAGTAAGGGGGGAGAAGGGTAGTGGGAGGAGGGGGGGAGAAGGGTAGTGGGAGGGGGGGAAGGGTAGTGGGGGGGGGAGAGTGGGGGGGGGGGGGTAGTGGGGGGGGGGGAGAGGGTAGTGGGGGGGGGGGGAGAGGGTAGTGGAGGGGGGGGAGAAGGGTAGTGGAGTGGGGGGGGGAGAAGGGTAGTGGGAGGGGGGGGGAAGGGTAGTGGGAGGGGGGAAGGGGTCCATATCTGTGTGTTTGTTGCAGGGGCGGGGGGGGGGGGGAGGGGGAGAGCATATCTGTTGGTTATGTGTTTATTGGGGATGGGGTCCATATACGTGTGTGTGTGTGTGTGGGGAGTGGGGGTCCATATATATATTTGTGGGGGGGGGGGGAAGGGGTCCATATCTGTGTGTGTTTGGGGGGTCCCGGGGTGTCTCCTCACTTTACGGGGGGGGGGGGGGAGGGGCTCTTACCCTCTCGCTCCTCTCCTCGAAGTGCTCACAGCCCAGGTACCAGCCATCGTCCGAGTCCTCGCTCTCAGCGCCCGCAGCCACCGGGCCCCACATCTCTCTCCCAGCGACTCCCAGCAGCCACACCCAGGCCCGGCCCCGCCCAGGCCCTGCCCAAGCCAGACCCCACCCAGGCCAAGCCCCACCTTTCCCAGGCCTGGCCCCACCCAGGCCAAGCCCCACCCTTCCCAGGCCTGGCCCCCAGCCAGGCCCCAAGCCCCACCCTTCCCAGGCCTGGCCCCGCCCAGGCCAGGCCCACCCTTCCCAGGCCTGGCCCGCCCAGGCCAGGCCCCATCCAAGCCCCACCCTTCCCAGGCCTGGCCCCGCCCAGGCCAGGCCCCATCCAAGCCCCACCCTTCCCAGGCCTGGCCCAAGCTAAGCCCCGCCCCACCCAGGCCCCGCCCCACCCAGGCCGGACGCCACCCAGGCCAGGCCCCGTCCAGGCCCCGCCCAAGCCAGACAGCACCCAGGCCAAGCCCCACCCTTCCCAGGCCTGGCCCCGCCCAGGCCGGGCCCCATCCAGGCCCCGCCCAAGCCAGACCCCACCCAGGCCAAGCCCCGCCCTTCCCAGGCCTGGCCCCGCCCAGGCCAGACTAGGCCCTGCCCCACCCACCCACCCAGGCTAGGCCTTGCCCCTCCCAGGCCAGGCCCCCCACCCCCACCCGCCCCCTTCCCAGACCAGGCCCCGCAATGGAAATGCAACTTAACAATGGAAACAAATATTCTGTTTTGATGGAAAACATAACAACAACTTGGATTTATATAGCGCCCTCCACGCCGGACGGCATCTCCGAGCGCTTGAGCACATGACCATGCACGACATGTACTGAGCCAACAATGCTCCCGCAAAGCTGGACTCATTTTAAGAAAAATTGCTTGATGCTGCGGTGGGAAGACGGTAGGGTCGGTATTATGGAAGGATGAGATCAAATTGACCGAAGAGCCCACTTCATCCAAATCTTTCTGGTGGTCTTGTAAACAGGGAGTGCTGTGTCTGATTCTGTTTTCTCTTCAAAGCAATAATTGCTTTGTGACTTGCACCTGACCGGAACCACCAGTTATAATTCATTGTAAAAGGGTCAGCTGTCTTGAAACTCTATTATATTTTAACTTGCAAATATTGGACATTTTCAGTCGATGTACATTTTTCTATCTAATATGCAGCAATGTGTGAGTGGTGCTTAATTCCATTCATAATCTGCATACTGAGTTAGGTTGATAATAATAATAATCCTTGCATTTGACATAGCGCTTTTCATGTCTTCTAAACGTCTCAAAGCGCTTCACAGAATACACTGTAAAGTGAATTGACTGTGTATTTATGGGCGAAACGCGGCAGCCAATTGTGCACAGCAGTGTCCCACAAACAGTCGTGGATTGAATTTATTATTTTTTTCTTGGGGGATTATTATTAGGCGTGGGGAGTAAGGAAATTTGCCGAAGGTTTCACCCTACTGGGAATCAAACCCAATCAAGGTTGATTAATTTGTACATTCACACCATTAGCACACATCATCCAGGGCTTCAAGTTCAAGCCCTTTCCTTTATTACTTTACAGTATTGGATTAGGGAAGAGGCAGTGGGGATTGCTGACTCATGTCATCAGTTGTAACAATATAATGAAGATCCCATTGCTATTTATGATGCCATGGGATCTTAAACGACCACTTGAAAAGGTAGTCAGGACCTTCATTAATGTCTTGTTTGAAGGATGGAATCTCGCACAATCTGGACGAGACAAGGAGCTTGACCCCCAAACCTCCTTCCACAAAAGTGAGAACTACGAACTGAGTCAGGCTGAAACCTACATCAATCTATTTAGTCATCTCCCCTTCACTTGAGCATCCATATTAAGAATGTGGGCAGTACTGGAGATATATGGGTGTAGTCAAATGAATCAAGATCTTAATAATTAGATTTGCACATAAGTTGGATGCTTTTAAGAATTAAATTATTTCAGGCAATATTAAGAGAATTACAAATTATGCAAAGTCTCAATGACATAATAAAGTGCTATATCAAATGCCAGGATTATTAAATTATGTTGTGCAATGATATTTCAGGTCTGAGTGACCCATCGTGGAGAATAACATAGCCACCACACATTGCATTCTAATTTCATTGTTATTGTGATTATTCACCTGGTCAGCGGGGAGTTTCCCATTGATATAGATGTGGTGAATCATCAAATTGTACCCTCAGTGAGGAAGTGGGTTGGTTGCTGGAGAGACTAGAGGTGGCTTGTGAGAAGTGCTTACCTTTGGGGGAAGAAGATGAGCAGCAGTTGAAGCACATCCCTGCCTGAGCAATACCAGCCCTCAGCTTTACCTCAGGCATAGCTCTCGGGAGACTACAGTGCTAAACTCTAGAGAACTGTAAAACTCGAGAGGAGTGGTTTATGGATGATTGTTATCAGCAAAATTTTCATTTAGTTTGAAAACAATTCTGGTGCCTGCACGTCTGGCGGGCAGAATTGCCGAACTCTATTAGATCAAGACCCTGCTTGTATCAAATTAATTATTAACCTTAAACTCAGTGATCACACAGATGGAGATTCAGCAAACTCTGGCTTCAAGACGAGAACTTAACAGTTGAGCCTCACAAGCAAGGGTTTAAATCGCATGGTCGAGATCCCCCTCGCAGAGTGACCTTGGTGCCACCATTAAGTTGCTCTACGGATGCTTCTCCTCTATGTTCAACGCATTAGCTTCACTCCCCTTTGCTAATCCCAAACCATCTCCCACCCAACCGATTCCCCCTGATGCAACCTCCACTCTCTCAAATCTCAGTCCAGAGCTTTTGATTTCAGGTGGTTTCACGGATTATCACCAAATCTGGCTCAAAAGTCCTCCGCATTCACTGCCTCTCCCTCTCCAACAACAACAACAAAAATTACATTTGTATAGCGCCTTTCATGTCGGGAGGATGTCCCAAGGCGCTGGACAGACAGAGTTACGGACCTGAGCTGGGGGCCGGGGTGGCGGAGGGTGGAGGGCAGAGGCGGAAGCAGGGAAGTCGAAAGCACAGTCAAAGAAGAGGGTCTTGAGGTGGGTCTTGAAGGTGGTGAGGGAAGGGGGCGAGACGGAGGGACTGCGGGATGACGTTCCAGAGGGTGGTTTCAGAGTGGTGGAAGGCCTGCCCGTCAATAATGGGGCGAGCGAGGCGGGGGACATGAAGCAGGTCAGAGCACGCTGAGCAGAGGGAGCGAACAGGATGGTGGGGGTTAGGAGGTCGGAGAGGTAGGGAGGAGCAAGACCATGGAGGGCTTTGAAGGTGAGGGCCAGGATCTTGAACTGTATCCTCTGTGTGATGGGAAGCCAGTGGAGTTGGGCAACAACAACAACAACAACAACAAGATTCCATTTATAAAGCGCCTTTCACGTCAGGAGGACGTCCCAAGGCGCTGAGCAAGGATGGGGGTGACAGGGTCGCGGAGCCGAGTGCGGAAGAGGACATGGGCTGCAGAGTTCCGGATGACCTGCAGCCTGTGGAGGGAGGAGTTGGGGAGGCCAACAAGCAGTGAGTTTGCATAGTCGAGCCTCGGTGTAATGAAGTCATGTATGAGGTTTCGGCTGCCTACGATATGAGACAGCGTCAGAGCCGGGTGTTGTTGCGGAGGTGGGGGAAGGCAGAGCGGGTCATGGCGCAGATGTGGGATAGAAAGGATAGTTGAGGGTCAAACAAGACCCCAAGGTTCCGGACTGGCTTAGCAAGGAGGAGTGTGCAGCCATAGATGGTGAAGATACAGTAATAGCCTCCTTCAATTCTGAGGTAATCTCCAAAGCCACGGACATCTCCCTGTTCCTCGTCTGCACCATAAATCACCTATTCTCTTCTCTGTGATGGGCACTGTACAAATGCAAGTTGTTTTTTGTACAAAATAGACTCTTGTAACAGGAACCATCGAACCATAGAAATTTGCAGCTCTGAAGAAGGTTGTTTGGCCCATTGTGCCTCTAAAAGAACTATGATTTTTAGAATTTCTATGAATATGACAGCCTATTTCTTCCCCACTTTTGAAATGGAAAAATTAGCCCTGTGTTTTTTGTTCTCTCTCTCTCCTTGTCTGAGTCTCTCTGTGTCATTCACCACCCCTACCCAAACCAGCAGCTAACTGGATTATATTTGTACTGTGAAACTAACACTAGGAGGAGCACTATAGCAGTTTAAAGTGATTTGCTCGCCTCCTTCCTAAGGTGGAAGCAGCTGGACTCTGCTCAATTCCTCTGCAGTGTCATAGGAGAGACCAGAGAGAAGAAACGATGAAGTTCACTTTAGTTCTCTTTAGTTCACTTGATCTCACTCTTCCAGGATACTTTTCTTCATGTCTTCCATAATACCCACTTTATTGCCTTTCTATTACAGCAAGCTGTTACAGGAAATAGAATCCAGTGGCTGCCGACTCCGGGACTCTACTCCTCATGAAGGGAGCAATATAAATGCAAGTTGTTGTTGTTGCCTCAGTTGGCAGCACTCTTGCCTCTAAATCAAGGTTGGGGTTCAAGCTCCATGAAGGGACTCAAAGTCTTGGCTGACACTCCAAAGCACTGCTGGGAGTCTGCTGCATTTGCTTGCAAAATACACAGTCACTATACTTTATATTGCATCCTATGAAGTGCTTTGAGACTTCATCTTGAAACGAAATATGCTACATTAAATGCAAGTTTTTTTTAAAATCTACTAGCACTCAGCCGAAATTCTGATTGGTTTTCAAGAAGAAATAAGCCCAGCACCTCCAATGGATCTGCAACTGCACCAGAACAATCTGTACAGGATGAGTAATGGTATCTCACTGGTGGAATAAGCAATCAAGTAATGATTCGTAATTTAGTCAGTGATAATTTCTATCTGAGTAGCAGGAAATAAGCTCCAAGATGCTATCCTGTGTGAATGGCATGGTACAAGTGCAGTTGTTGTTGATGTTGTAAGCGTATCCATTCACCCTCTACGATATGGGGTACAAACTGAATTCACAAGGCAGAATAATGCATAAAGTTACAAAGTCTATACTTAGGTTGCAAAAAAGACAATGTATCAGCCACTGAAGACTATCAAGAAGAAAAACTTTCCAAAGTTGCTGAAATACAACTGATGGCACATCAGCAAGTTGTGACAATTCAAATT